CGCATAAAACAAATAAATTTGACTTTAATAGATTATTTACAAATTTAGGATTTTTTTATACCTAAATCGTAGTGTAAAATAAACAATATCAATGCTCTTCTAAATAACTGAAAATTTAAAGGAACGCTGCATTTACTAACGCTTTACTAACCCTTTCGGTTTTAAATCAAAACAGCAAAAAGACCGAACGAATTTACGTATGATAAACACAATTATGGTTCTTGGATTTCCATAATCTTGAAAATATAATAGAATTTATCAATCTGTAATTAATAAATCTATCGTTTAAATTAATTAAATTTTTTTTTCAGTTCCAGGTGTATTTACTACAATCAACACACACACACATCTTTTCATAAACAATAGTAAAACTTCACACGGATTAAACTTTTCTTAATTTATGAAAAAGAGTAACCTACTTTCGGTTTTGTAACGAAGTTAGGTATATTGAATTTCTTCTGAATGAATAAGGAGACTAGTATATGATCTAATTCATCTCGAGTAATGAATTTGAAGGACGTGAATCTTACGAAATTGAAGATTCTATTTATTTCAAAATATATTTATTGATATTTATTTTTACAAGCTAACTGCCTTTCAGAATTCGATATTTTATAAGAGTTAAACTTTTACAAAAAGGTTAGCACCTGGAACCCCTATTAAAGTTTCAGCTGAACACAGATTAAAGACCACTGCTTTAAGGCAAATATTTTTATCCCCTCTCTATACCCCAAAAGATATCTAATTGACCCCTCTACACGAGCAGTCGTGGCTGAGTGGTTAGCCGAACACACCTGTGAAAAAAAGCATGCCGTACTCAGTTGTGTTACGTGGGTTCTAATCCCACCGACTGCCAGTTTTTTTTTTTTTTCTTTTTCCGCTTACAATTAAAAAAAAAATGTTTCCGACTTTCCCGGAATTCTAAACGAAAACACAGACATTGAAAATTCTCTTTTTTATGGATCAGTATTTGGGAGAGTCTCAATTTGTGCAAATTACCTTTCTAAGGCTATGAAGACAAGTTTGGGACTATATTTGTGATTTACATTCTTAATTCTTCGATTATAATTATAGATATAAAGGAGTTGACTTTGCAGGAAGAATGCAAATGTGTTTTTAAAAACTTTGGTTTATTAAAATTAATTTTTTTTAAAAATTTACTTAAATTTTTTTTTTTTTTTTTTTTTCATTTTTAAAATAATACTATGAATAATTAACTTAAGAATAATTTATACGTTATTCAAAGAAAGCAGAAATAATTATCATGGCGTCACAAGCAAAGTACATTAAATATTAATCCGAAATAAGTTACAAATACTGACAGTGAAAGTTATATAAACTTTATTATTTTTTATTGTTACAAATTCACAAACTAAACTATTTTTTGCTTAAATTTTTTAAAAAGAAAAATGTTAAAACCTTTCTAGTAATTATATGTATTTTATTCTTGCAATAGGACCTCTATGGCATATCAACATTCATCCAGACATTTTAATTACAATTATGGTTCTTGGATTTCCATATTCTTGAAAACATATTAGAATTTGTCATTCTAAAATTTATAAATCTATTGTTTAAATGAATGTATTATTTTTTTTCAATGCCATGTGTATTTACTACAACCAAAACACACACACACACACATCTTTTCATAAACAATAGTAAAACTTCACACGGATTAAACTTTTCTTAAATTATGAAAAAGCATCACCTACTTTCGGTTTTATAACGAAGTTAGGTATGTTGAATTTCTTTTCATGAACAGCTGGGGTAATGGAAAGACCTAATCAAAATCAGCTGATGTTTGCAAACGGGAACAATTCTATGAAATGAGTGTTTATTCACTTTGGATTTTATCTGTAAAAATTCGAGCCTGCTATGAACCGTTAATTTGACGCGACGTCGGGCGCCATTTCATATACGATTGGCGGTATTTTATATCTGAAATTATTCTTAAAGTATAAAGAAAAGAAATTTTGTTCTAATTATTTATTTGAATTGTAATGAAACATAAAACCACATTAAAATAAAGAAACATAAACATTACATTAGTAGGGTTCCAAATTAAATTTAGTGTTAGACATTAAGAGATTATTAGGCAACGGAGGTTCCTGACGGACTAAAGTTTCTCAGTAATCTTCGCCGCTGTAGTAATGGAAAGATCACTGTATGTTACATGCGGAGTTAAACTCAACTCGAGAACTTTTATTTATCCTAAAGTATTAAGAACTATCAAGTTGATAGGAACAGTAAAAAGAAACAAGATTTTACTTAAGATTAACATAAATTTAAATATAAATGATGGTTATAGGATGTAAGGTAGAACAACAGGAAGATGGAAATCCATCTCGAATTTACTGCTTTGCGAGAAGTATATCTATACGAAGATGAGGATGCACTTCGCATCAGTTCATGCTTTTCTGTAAAAGTTCTCGAGAATAAATATGACTCGCCGATGGACTTATGTCGACCATGGTCGTATGCAACCTGCGGATCGGTGTTTAATAAGATGCAGCGAATGAATGAATATAGGTTTATGGAGCAGGAGCTGAATCCAGCTTTTGCGCCATTTTCAGAAAACGATTGTAACTGCAATATTTTCTAAACGAAAATTGAATGCTCTGTTCAAAAAAGAAAAATTCAGATATATATTCAAAGAATCGTCAAAGATTTATCACTTCGATAATTTTTATGAGCATTTCTTTTCACATATGTCTTTAAAATCCACATTT